ATAGAGAAAAGGAAAGAGAAAAAACCCAAAAGTCTAGTATAATAAATGGCAGCTTAACAAACTGTGCCTAAATTAAGCAAGAATCTCCCACATACTGTTGATTTTTGCCAAAATACTAAAATTGGAGTCTGCTTAAAAATGAAATACAGAGAAACTAAGGCAAAATGCTAAAGATGAGTACTAAAAAAGTATGTTCACAAGAAGGAATACTCAAGTAAGGACTAGTAGCCCTGGGAGAGATGATTTGGAGAGGTCACATCCTTACAATGCTACTTTCATACATCTCCGATATTATTGTGCACGTGAAAGAGGGTTCTAAGATATCAGAGCTATTCTGCACCTTGATGAGATTTTAGAAACTGCCAAATCTGTTCTTTGACATAATGGCTTCACTGTGGCATTTGACTGTCTCAAGGTCAGTATGGCACTGAATGGTACTTTCTTCTCTCTATGTCTAAAAATTAAAAAAGAAAAAATGTACCTGTTGCAGAGACATTGGCAAGGCTTTAAGTTCAAAGTAACTACTGGTAGGGAGATCTACAGGTACATACATAATCAGACATATTACAAACTCAAAATTCTCATCATTTAGATGAGATTTTAGAAAGATTAAGAAAATGTCCGTAAGACAGAATATCTTATTCTTTAAAGGGAGGGAGTTTTTTGAAAAGTAAAATTGATGACATTAATGTGTGCTGACATTAATGTGTGCTTATTTATTCACATCACAAACTATTTGATGTCATTACTGTATGTTTACTCTACTTACTCACACTACAAACATATTTCACTGATGTAAGTTCACTGTGTTCCTTCACACTGCACATGGCTCGGCCATGACAGAATGAAGCGAAGGCTGAGAAATCATAGGGCATAGTCACGAGCACACAGAAGTAAAAGGTAACAAACCATCGTCCATACTTTCACCTCAGCAGACACTCATGAGAACTTCATACCTGTTTTCAGAACTGCACGCATCTTAGGTAACTGCCAGCCTCAAGGAACTGGAACCATAGGAACAGGTGATTTCCTCCAGAAACTCTCCAGAAAACAGCTCTGTTTCCTTTAGCAGTGTTCCAGGTAACCCTGGAGTCCTATGCACCACGATGACTGCCAACTCTGCTCTTCTTTTACAATTTAAAATTAAGTTCTAAATTGGAACATTCTTGATTAGGTATCTTTAAATACAATCCTGCCAGATGAATGTATCCAGCCACATCGATTTAACCAAAGACTTTGATTTGCACGTGTGTGTGTGTGTGTGTGTGTGTGTGTATAATATTTATATATCTGTCTCTGATGATAATTAGCTGGAGAGGAATTTATTGTTTAGTGCTGTTTGAGGATTTAGAAAATAGGAAGAGTAAGATTTAGAAAGACCCATGATAAATAAATTGCATTTATCAAGGGGGAAGGACAATGTACTTAAAAAACTGAAGTTAATAAATGGGGAAAGGAAGAGAAACTAATTAGAAAAATGGATCCTCTTCTGGTTAAATTACTCCCTTCAGTTTCCTGTTCACCAAGGCCTTGACATGGAATGGGGGATCCTGGTCACTAGCAGAAGGGTCAGACATCCAAGCGAAAAGACAGAAAGCTAGGAGAAAATTCTACTTTTGTCTCAATATCTGCCCTCTACCACAGCAAGTTGCCTTTTTGTTATACTGGAAGATCATCTTTCTTTTTCATGTTCTTCTCTCCATTAAGCAGAATGTCACACAATCCCTTGGAAATAGCCATTTCTGAGAACAAACAACGTTTTTGGCAGATGAACAGGAAAAAAATTAGCTGATGTCAGGCAGTATTTTACCTGAATAACTTCTTAGGGGACAGGCATCCTTAAAAAAATTACGGAAAAAGTCTATGAACTTGTATCCAAACTCGATTCAAGTTTAGCTCAGTACATCCCTTCAAGGAGGGATAAAAGAACCTGCTTCAAAAACTGAGCAATGACTCTATGATTTCTATTTAAATGACAGCAGGGAACAAAGTTAAGGGGTGAGAAAAAAGTTCCCCTCTCTCTCTCAATCCCAGGTTGCAAATCAAGCTTATTTCTTTTATTCTCACAGTTAAAACTCGAGCAAGAGCAAGAACTTGCACACTATTACAAAAACAGCTCGAGATTTGATAGCAGGTCAAGTTATGAATTTTGACATAAAGTAATGAGAAGAAGGTTTTTAAGTTCACTGGTACCCTTTCTTTTCCTAATTTAGTTCCACAGTCTTCTCAAACTCTTCTAAGTGCCAGTAACGCCAAGGATGTAATAGAGAAGATAATAAAAGTGAAATGTCTGAATTCTATTTTTTTCTTAAAGATCTATGTGATTTTGCATTCTTCTGCATAATATATCGCTTTTATATCAATTCAAGCATTTGCTCCTAATTAAAAATTAAAATTGACTTCAGAAGAATGTATCACATTTGCTTTGTGACTCTACATAATCCTGAATATGTATTTACATACGTCAGCACTAGAGGTGTTAGTCGATCACTATTCAAACAGTGGCCACTATATTGCTTCTGTGTTGCTTTTAACAAAAACAGCTCCCTTAGCACGTTAAGGGTTATCATAAGAGTTCAAAAATGATTTCCTAAATCTAAACTTAACTCTTCACCTAATTATTGAATCAAAATCATTTACAGTTCTTCTATACTGTGTGATTAAGGTTGAGAGCATAGCTTTTTGTCATATTTTCATCCTAGTGCTACTGCTAGTAGTCTTAGATAGAAACTATTTTACTGAGTTTGGAATATCTGCTGTCATCTGTGTTGTTGTCTTCCCAGGAGAAAGAATCTTTGAACTCATCTTGTGATGACTTTTCATGGCTAATTCCATGGAGTATATGGAATTGACTCCATGAGAAACCGTGGTGAGGGTAGAAAAAGCAAGTCCTGCTGTTCTGGTTAAATCACTCCCTTCAGTTTCCTGTTTACCAAGTAAATCTCTGAAGTCAGAAGATGCTTGAAACCACTTTGGATATGAGGCTTCATATTCACCTTTATGCTTAGTTTCCACCTTATTTCCTTCTGAAAACTAATGCAAAAGAAAAGAAAAATGTTTTCCACAAAATTCTTTAAAAATACTTAAAAGAAGACAGGCTTGAATACCTACATATTATGTAATCTACATATAAAAATGTTCAGAAGAGGCTAATTTATTAAAACAAAGCCCTTCAGTAGTTGCCTAGAAGCTAAGGGTAGAAGCAGGGACTAACAGGAAAATGGTCTTGAGGGAAATTTTGAGAGTGACAGAAATGTTTTAAAATGTGATTGAGGTGGTATTTGGACAACTATAAATTTAACTAAAGTCACTGAATTTTAGACCTACAATAGGTGAAATTGTACCTCAGTAGAGTTGCTAAAAAAATAAACAAAAAGACCCCAGAAAATTTCATGTGTTGGAGAGAGATGTTTTAATTATACTTTTAATTATCTAAATATCATGAGAAATTTCTGGCTAATTAGAAATATTTAAATACTGCAACATAGGACATTGCTTAAAATAACTGAAAGTGATGCCAAGATAAGCATTTTAAAAGCATTCTAAGTGGAAGTTCATATCTAATTTATAATTTTCTTTTTTTTTTAGTGGGATATTATTCCCCCCTCAAAAGAAGATTGGGCTATTTTAGTGTGATGGCCAATAACATAACTCCATCCAAGAAGGATTAAACTAGCAGTCGCATTAAGACTTCATAAGATGGAATAAACAAGTAAGTGAAATGCAAAAGATGGCTTCTTTTCTTTCCTTTCTGTTTTTGTTTCTACAGAAGAACCCTAGCAAGGAAAGAACCAGCTCCACAAAAATGATGAGATGATATTGAGAATATATATGTGGTTGATAACTCAATTAATCCACTATTCTCTTCTTGGGTACACTGTAAGACATTTCTCAGCTTCCTTGCTTGTAGAATGGAGTCATGTCTCACAAAATATGAGCAGAGTGATGAATGTTACTTCTAGGCAAGGGACTAAAAGATCCTGTACAACCATCCATGCTCTGTCTCTCTCTTTGTGGAAGACTTACCTCATGGAAAGATCCTACATTTTAAAATTACTTCTTTGAAGAAACCTGCCCCACTGAGAAAGCTGTCCAATTGGCATTAGGCTGTGCCTGAGTGAGAAATAAACTTTTCTTCTGTTGAGTCCACTGAAGTTTTGGAATTACTTGTTTTAGCAGCTGGTTGTAATTAGCCTAACTAACGTAATAGAGCCACTGAAAGCGTGTTTTTTCCTTTACTTTCATCATCTTGGCCTGTACTTTTCTTCTTATCTATCCTTGCTATGACTTTCTCTAGTTGCCTTCCTCATCAGCTCCAGTTAACATTTATGAAGTCTGAGTCAGAGAAGATATGTATAAATAGTTTGCAACATGAACTTTATTAGGGTCCTTTTTTATAAACTAGAGTATTTGGGTAGGATAAAGTGAAAATAATAGCCTGAAATTCTTCCTTCTGCTGAGCCAGAATGTGTCTCAAGTCTTTGGTTAAAATACTGTATGATCACCAAAAGCAGTGTTTCCTGACCCCCAATAAACCCCAGAAGCCATAAAAACCAGGAGAGAAATGTCAGCATTGGCAGCCACCCTTGGGGCATGAACTTTGCTTTTATTTTTTTGAAACATTTGGTAGTAGAGAAGTGCATGCTTCTTATTCCACAGCTTTTTGTTTACCCAAAGACAACAGATTACCATTCCAATTCATTTTCAAATGACTCCACTGTATACAAGCCCTTTCCTCCTTTTCTGCATATACAGCAAATGCAAGGAAAGAAGAGAGGACCCACCCCAAACCAGAAACACATCTGGAGCTACTCAGCTCTTCCCCATTACCCCAGTCCTTCTTCTGGTCAACCCTAGTCCCCCCCACCCTCCAACTCCATAGCCAAAAAAATAAAATAATTCAAATCAAAAACAGCTCATAAAACAGTAAATAAAATAAAGTCAATTTTTCTTTCTTTTTTTTTTTTAAAGAACAAAATGAAACTTGAGGGAAAACTTACTGGAGTTACAGTTTATCCTGATACAGTCTAGATGGGGAAAAATAAATGAAAGATGAAATTGCATCCTTCAAGGTAACAGCTGCAGACATCCAAAAACAATCAGTCCACCCTTCCGGGGACAGACACACGCAAGAAATGTGGCCATTTTATATATATGCAGTCTGTACAAGTTTAAGGGTGGGTGTATATGTACAGTATATTATTTAGTAAAGTTGGATACATATATATATACACACACACACATATATATATACACATATGTATAAAGATATATACTGGTATACATATATATCCACAATAGACACCAAGCATGTTTTTTTCCCCAAAAAATACCTATTAATTTAGAGAAAGTTTTTCAAACCTGAGCTTTGAAATTTTGAAATATTAATTTTGTTAAACTTGAAAAATTAGGCAAAAATTCCCTCATTGAATGCAGGCTATATTCCATTTCCCCCTACAATTTATTTTCTTAAGATTGATCTTTAAAACTACCATTAATACAATTTTTATAATAGTATTCCAAAGATATATCACCAGTCTGACACATTATATGATTTAAAAATCCTTTCGTGAAGTTTCTCAGGGCAGTATTTAACCCTTTCTCTTTTTCTTAAAAAAATAAAAAGCAAAAAGAAACAAAAAACAAAAAAAAAAAACCCAAAACATAAAAAAAAAAAAACCTCCCTCCACCCTCTCCCTAGGTAGGACCCCAAATGCTCTAGAAATTTGCATAGGCAGTCTTGCCATCATCCTTAAAGGTAAGGAAAGGGTTAACACCACCTGGTCATTCCCTGTCATAAAATGGCCACTTGCAAACAGCTAACCGCACAAACACCCATCCCAGATTTTAGAGAGGTGGGGTTGGGTGTAGGGTAGGAGTAGTTGTAAGACCTTACCACAATTGATTGGGTTCTCTGATTGCTATTGTTTCAAAGGCTCCCAACCACACCCACTCACCAAGCCTATCTTCGTCTTGCTGCCTGAATGCGCAGACTGAATCAATTGCCCAGAGCATTCAGAGAGAAGGCGAGGCAGGCAGGGTAGAGGAGGTCTTGGGTACCTTTGACATCCTGCCTAGTTCACTCTGTGATTCTGCACCTTGGGAAGAGAAAAATCTTTGGTGTTGATTTTTTTTTTGTTTATTTTTAATGTAGAAAAGGGAATAAGAAGGTGGCTAATTGACCAGTGTTGGTAACTAGACAAGACCTTCTGTGGCAGAAATCAAGATATCCATAATTTTCTTAATCTCTGAGAGTCATGGACACATGAAGTTATTGAGTAGATTCAGTGGGTGTTAGCAGGGGACCGGGCACAAAGAGTTAGAAAAATCTCTTAATGTAGTTGCCAAGCTGCCCAGGTAAACCTAAGGCTGGCTTATGATGGTGGGAAGTACAATAAGAATTAGATTAAAGTCAGAGATTAGAAGGCAGAAGTGATAAAAAAGGAAGAAAGGTACAGGAAAAAATACAATTACAAACTGTGCTCTTCTGCTTAGGGTTGGTCCTGTATTTTTTAGAGGACTCATTCAGTATAATGCCACTGTTTGAATTTTCCACTGTAAACCATTTTAAGTAAGCAAGTAAAAAAGAAACAAGGGCCAACTAAGAGGACAGGAGGGAACTAGGTGAAATCCAGAGAGAAGCAATTTAGAACACCCAATCATTCTGACGAATGAGGCAGGATGCTTATTTGTTCCCCAGAAGAACATCTCTTGAGAAAAATCTGGGTTCGGTTTCGTGCGGTTAGGTTTGTCATGTGTCGTCAACCGCAACAGAAAAGTGGGAGCAAACAACCCTGGAGCAACTGGTACGATCACCAGACAGGGGAGGCCATGCCCCTGGTGAGGACTGGGAGGAGGGAGGGCAGGCAGGGAGGAGGGTAGGGGCTTCAGCTTCTGGTTGCACCTACTGTCACCCAAGGCTAGAGAAATGGCCCCTTCTGATGTGTTCAAGAGAGAGGAAAAGGGGTGTATGTGTATGCCTGAGAGAGAGGGGGTGAGAGACTGGGTCTGATGCAACAAACTCGGGGGTAAAGATCGGGAGTGGTTTTCTTTTTTGATTTCTGTGCAGCTGAGGATTTTATTGCTAGACCAATCCTAGTCTAGGCAGAGGTGCTGGGTTAGGCTCATCCTCCCGGGTCATCCAAATGATTCCATGGGAAGTGAAATGGTGACTTTATAGCAACATGAGGACCTGGAATTTTTAGTATGGAAAACAACTTGTTAAAGTTGAGATATGAAGAATGATTGCATTACTTGACCTGAAGTATAAGTGGCTTGAGGAGGTCTGTCTACCCCAGGCACTTCTTCATTGGCTTAGGTGGGGTGGCCTTGTTAGGGAGAGCATTTTTTTTTCTTTTAATAAATGATGAGACAAAGGGAATTGACTTGGGAAGGTGATTTCCTTTAGATCTGTCGTAGGTTGCACCCCAAGTTCTCTCTGCCTGAAAAGTCTATTTGAGTTTTGGCATGGTGTTTGAGAGGTGTGTGTGTGTGTGTGTGTGTGTGTGTGTGTATGTATGAATGTGTGAATGTATTATCTGTTTTGTTTTCATTTATTTTATTATAGTACATAAAGAAAAATGATGACTTTCTATGTTGGTGAGTTTCGGGTTGAGCGTGGAAAAGGTGAATGTTTCTAACAGTTGTACATTTTCAATAATGCACACAGTACACAGAATGTCCATGTTCCCAAACAGAAAACACATGGAAAATTCAAATGCAATTCATCCACCTGTATGAGGCTCTCTCCCTCCGAGTCACCACCATGGAAGAAGCACTCCCAGTACTCTGCTGAGGCTCCTAAAGGCTTTACCCTTATCACCTGGCTTTTCTGCAGTATGGCTCACTTTAAACTGGGCAGTCAAAAAAGGATTTCCTCTGAGCATGTTTCAAATGTGACCATCATAAAAGACGTTGTAAATCATTAGGTCTGTCACATTATTGATCCACAGTATTGACCTGTGAGGGTAGCTGATAACCCATAATGATCAAGCAGTTCAGAGACAAGGATTATAGCTCCAGTTCTGTTACCAACTTTTTATGTAAGCTTTGAAAAATCACATATTTCTCCTTTTTACTTTTGTAAAAGTAAGCATGAAAATACTTTCTTGCTTACTTTTGTTATTGTAGGATTAAAGTAAGAAAAGGTCTCAAATCTTTGAATATAGCATAATAATAGTACTGTTATATTTTTAATTCTAAAGAATCCATAGCCAACCTCACAGCTTTTAGAAATGTGCTGTGTGTTGCAGGCAATTTCTCTTGTCTGTTCTTAGCACATATGGCTGTCTTTAGAAAACAAAGTCTCTTGGAAAACTCTAGTCTCCTTGACATTTAGAAGACATGTTACATCAGAGAAATAAGCACTAGGTTCTTAAATCATGAGCTTACATGTGTGAATATCTGGAAATCAACCAATCAATCATTTTGTGCATTTGATAGAAAAAAAGATACAATTTACATGGCAGGGGAGATTAAAGTGACCATTAAAAATTAATTGGGGGAATATATGTGAATGAAAGTTCTGTTGGGGCATGGTTTCTCCTATAACCAAGAAAAAAACAAATATAAATTTATAACAAGGAGAAAGAAAATATTTATGAAGGGGCATATTTTGGAGAGGTGTAGAAGGAGAACCTTTGAATTAAGCATGAATATAAAGAGTAGCATCCAAAAAAGCAAAAGGAACTTAAGGTTGGTATTCTATGTCAGTTTCAAAAGAAAGTTAAGTAAATCAAACATAATTGTGAAAAACCATATTCTTCAGGAAAAGAGTAAACAATTATTACTCTTGGAGAAGCACACTGTTCTCTTCAGAGGAGCAAATTCTCATTTGCCTAAGATGTTTCAACTGAGGAGAAGCTAGACTGACAATTTACCAAAGGAAACCAAAAGACAAAAGCAGGATCTTTTTGAAAAGTACATCTCTAAAATTTTGGCCAGACTTTAAAATGGAAAAAGAAAAAAAAAAGTGCTTCCAGGAATACATATGAGATCTATGACTGTGTGTGTCCCTGTATATGTGTGAGTGGGGGAAGGAGGGAGAGAAAAAAAGATTCTGTCTTTCTCTTTTCTTCTCTTGTCTCCATTTATTCCATTTCTTGCCTCCAGATTTTCCTTCTAAGAGCCCTGTCACAGTTCACTTTCTAATCTTCACAAAATAACAACTAAGAGGGAGAAATGTCTGTTTAAAAACACAGCGTGCACTCCTCTGGGGTCCTGTGGGGCAGAATCATCTTCATGTGTATGTCTCTGTCTTACTTTGAAATAGATGCAGAGGTAAAAATTGTCTTCATTTTGTTTTTCTGTGAGCTAAACAGGAGGTTGTATTTGTTTCTGATGTTTTGGATTTTGTTTTCTTTTTGCGTGTGTGTGCTGCTTTCAGAGAAGTAGAGAATCAGTTACTGGTTGCTGTTTGGGGTAGTATGTGCTTCTGATGGCTTGAGGTGGGAAGGATGGTGAGGGATAGAAGTGGGGGAAGGACAGGGGTATGCCAGCCCCTGTAGGCTGCTCAGTACACTCTGTTCTCAAGGCTGTTTGCTATGCGGGCCGCAGGCTTTGGGCCTTTGAAGGGTTGAATACCATCTTTTGATTTACCATGGTTGATGGTGGGGAGGATTGGAAACATAAGAGCACAAAATAAGATCCAGCAAAAGAGAAAAACAAAACTTAAAATAACCAAACACACACATAAAAAAAAGAAAAACCAAGGGACACATTGACAACAGAAATCAAATGATGTTGGACAAGAAAAAGGGCATAGTGTTGTGAAAGCTGCAAACTAGAAGGGAGAAAAAAAAGATATAACTAAATAAGCCACTGCTCAAAACAGTCCTCTGTGTTCTAGAGATTTCAGGATTATCGTCATTTTCCACATGTGACCTGTTGACTTGAGAGCCGGTAAGACTGGTACACATTCAAGACTCCACCTTCCCATGAGCCATCTAGGACTTCATTTGGTCTCGCGACTGGCACATCTGTCCACCATATCTTCTCTTTGCCTCTGACAAGCCATTCCACGGAAATCAAAAGGAACCCTGCATCCATATTCTATATACCCTAATAAGTCCATTATCTTAGAAAGTTTGGACTTAGCTACGTCACTAATCTTGTCAACACTGGGCATTGACTTTCTGCTGAGTAGAAACAGCAGAAATAAATATTTTTTTTCTTACAAAGCCATGAGGCTCCATTCTCTATTAGAGATTAATTAGAATCCAGTAAAGAGTGTCAATAGCAAGACAGAATATGAGACTGTAAGAAGAAAGATTCCAAAGTATCTGTTACAGGTAAATTACAGTACAAGGACAATTCCTGTCCCAGTAAAGCTGCAATTTGAAGTTGTCATAATTTTTACTTCTAAGGTAAAATACATGTGTATTATGTGAGGAGAATAAAGTAATTGGTCAGTATCATGGTGATATAACAATCTTTACAGAAAGGGCCACTGAGTGATGGTTTGTCAGAAAGAAATATGGGGCTTCAGATCAAAAACCACATTTTCCTTCCACATGTCAGAGACTCTAAAATTAGTGAATTATTTTCCTGTGGATGGACAGAAAAACTCTGACTTACTCTCCCATTATGGAAAACAAAAGGATACCTCAGTGTAATCAAGGCCACCAGAATCCCATTTGAATTATCATTGTAGAGCTTGACATAATGAATTTCTTATCTTTCTGTAGTTTAGTTTTCTAGAACCCCATCTTCCCATTTTGCCTCCATCTCTTGCCCTCAGCTTTGACTGTTTTGAGTGGTGACTGAGGAGTTGAACTTAATGAGAATATGATTGATCAAAAGATGGACCAAAGTAGCGTGTTTTACACAAAGCTAAACGATTCCAAAAAACCAAGAAAGGAAACTTAGAAAACAAATCATCTAGTAAAGAAACCACCACTGTCAGAAACCAGAAATTGACATCAAAACCTCATGCAGAAATAAGGAAAAGGTGTTTGTTGCTGTTGGGTTTTATCCTTGGTCTATTAAACAAGAGGTGAGCAGCTAACTTTCAATAAACAAACAAACAATTCAATCAAACCAATGAAAATCAGAAAAGAAAGGGAAGACAAGCCCAAACAGAGTGGCAGAGGGTACTTTATACGATACCTAAGTTAACCATGAGCTTGACACGCCCCCCATCCAGCTCCAGACGCAGGGTGTCAGCTGAGTCCCTGGAGGTGGTAGCCACCAGCAGCCCATAAGCTCGCTGGGACATAAAGCGGAAGGACACATCCTCTGCTTCCGTGTGCATGACCATGGGCATGATGATCTTCATGTACATGCTGCCATCATAACTCAGGATGGACGCCTCTGCCAGAGAAGAATGGAGGAGACCATTAGGGTGAAAGATGTTCACGTTTCCAATACCAGTTTGCTTCTTGGCTAGGTAGAGAGAATGCCAAATTCACAGCAGATAATTTGTGGTTTATTGACCCCATTGTTGCCATTTTCTGACTATGTGACCTGAACAGACCCCTTAAACTCTGAGGTTCTATTTCTGATGCACAAAGGATATTTGATGACACTGGTACCTGCCATATCATGCTCACAGACTTGTCAATGGTATAAAACTAAATAACAAATATGGAGGTATTTTGCAAAAGCAAAAATACCTCTCAAATAGTATTAGTAATTCTGTATGCTATAGATAAAGCAAAAGTACATAAAAATAGAATCCCTATATTCAAAAAATAGGAAAAAAGCAACAGTTTGTAACTGCCACAGGAGTAAATAAATATTTGCCAGAAAGCTTCTAAGACAAGGACAGGGTGGCAGCTCAGGGTGGCATCCATAACATCCATAGTGACCAGGCACTGTTGCATTTGTTTAGCTTACTCAAAAAGATGGACAGAGCCAGAGCTAGAAGGACAATAAAAAAGAGCTAATGACACACTTGAGGAGTTCATTTTATTTTTATTCAAGTAGTACTTTTGTAAGGAAGAAATAAAACTCACTTTCTTCAGTCCAAGCCCTATAGTTAGGACCTCCACTACCCGTGCCCTATCATATATTATCTCACTTAGTGCTATAATGTGAGCCTATTATTCCCAGTTTCAAAATAGAAAATAAAGGTTCTTAGAGAAAGATGTTATGATTCAAAAGTCACACAGCCTGGATTTTGACCCGATATATTCATACCAAGTCCAAGGACGATTTTGCAATGATACGTGATACAATGGACGTGATACTCAACATGTGCATTCATTTAATTGTTCATCTGAGAAATATTTTTAGAGTATCTGGCACTGAGTAGGTCATCATTAAGTATTTACTGTTATCAAATATTATAGTTGCTATCTACATGGACTGTAGAAGACATAAAGGTAAAATAGATAAGGCCCTTGTTTCTAAAAAGAGACATAACATGCACAGATGCTGTACTAGAATATAAAAATGGTTAAATTACCAGGAAAGCTATACAAATAAAGTGGCATTCAGAGGCGATAGTCTAAGGAATGCAGGTAACGAAAGTAGATAATGTAGTTCTGAACTGGTCTTAGTAGATAGGTAAGGTTTACAATGAAAGAAGCAATGGCATTAGATTTGACAGGTAGGTCATGATGGGTAGGGCAGATAGCTTCTCTGTAGACAAAAAGGAAAAAAATTAGTGGGGTACCTACTTGATAATAACAAACTATTCAATTTAAGACAAGTCTCTGCTTATATATTTTGGGAGGTAGCTACATAAGGTTGTTTGAGATTGGAACAAAATCAATAGATTCTGTAGATACTGGGAAGTGAGTGAATGGTTCTCAATTACAAAGTATAATGGTACAGTCATTGGTGCCTACTGAGTTCTAGGCAGTTTTGTGAGTATAGGACACAACATTGGACAAAAGAGAAACATCCCTGCTCTCCTATGTAGAAGGAATTGGAACTGGTAAAGACAAGAGCCAGAAAGACCACATGGAAGGATCCCAAAATAGTTGACATCATCATCATCCCCCACCCTATTACATAATATACAAAAGGGGGCATGAAAAGTAATATAAATGTACCCATTCATAGTCCTGAAAAGCAACCATCCTCCAAATAAAACCCATAACATACTTAAAGCTATACATGACAATTTGCGAACCAAGAGAATCACTGATAAAGTGTAACAGTTGCAGACATGTGACTACAATAGAAGATGCATGATGAAGATCTGTTCTTACATGGAAAACATAATCTAAATTTAACACATATGCCAGATGTGAAAGAAAATGTTTTATCTACTGGAAGAACAGAATTTTAAAAAGTCTATATTGATAGCTTAAATTTATGGAGCACTTACTATTTGTGTGATGCTTTTAAGGACTTTATATGCATTAAGAAGTCATTTAATACTCATGAAAACCATGAGGAAGATAGTACTATTACTATATTTTCTAGATACCAGCTTAATAAATTGCTGAGTTGGGAGTTGAATGCAGGCTGTCTGATTCTTACAGCTATATCTTAACTATTCTGCCAAATTGTCACAAAGCTATGCCAAGAGCATATTTAAACTTCAAAACACATCTAAAATTCTTCATGGTCAAGTGTGATGTTCTTGCATATATGTGTATGGCACACACATGCTATTGTTTGGTCATACATTCATAAATATTCAAAATTATGTAAACATAGATAATACATATATTGTTAATATGTTGAACTATATGAATATGTACAATGCTCAGTAATCATTACTGCACACCTTCTTCTATACAAGAAGATGGGGAGATATTTGTGGAAACCAAGCATTATGTATAAACTATGCATGGATTTCCTTTTTTTTTTTTTGCCCTGAAATAAGCTTACACTTTAATTGCATTTTCCATGAACTCATTGAAGTCCCCTTATACATAACCATAAAATATATACTCTTCTTTAAGACAAATTAGGATATTAAGCCATTAAATGATTTTTTTAATTTATTACTTTTAAAAAATTCACATTTAATCACTGTATATCTTTATAGCATACAAAATTATCTTTCCAAGCATGAATATAGTGCCTATCAACCAAGTTAAAGATATTACGATATATATTAACATCAACAGATAACTTTTCATTTTTGTCTGATAAATGCTTCTCTTCCCTCCCCATCTCCTTCCTCCCACTTCCCCCACTACTCATCCTTTCCTATACTATCTATAGCATCCACCATTGCCCTCCCTGCCAATATACCCTCCAGTCTTTCAGTTTCTCCAACAGAGTGCAAACATTTGGTATATATGGGTGGTGGGGGGAATAACAACACCTGTATTTTGAAGTCTGGCATGTTTCACTTAACATTAAATCTTCCATATCCATCCACTTTGTGTCAAATGTCAGGATCATGTTTTGATCCATTCAACTTAAATACATTCTAAAATAAATGGTTGCTTTTGTCCCTCTGAATATGTGTAGAACCAGGACATGTATATAAAAGAATGCATCTCTATGTCAATATCTATCAGAGAATAAGTACCAGGTGAATATGTAGTTAAACAGCTGATGGAACAAAAGTAACTCTCTTCCCTTTCTCTTCTGTGCTATTACTCATATTATGCCTAAATATGTATATTACAAACCCAATGATACATTGTTATGATTGCTTTATAAAAATGAGTGTACTTTTAAGAAACTATGAGAACTCAGATATGTTTATAGTGTCTTTTTTTTTTAACTGTGCTTATTATTTACCATCTCTGACTGTCTTCCTTTCTTCCTGTGCACTTGAGTTAGCATCTGGTATCATTTTCTTTCTCTAATATAGCTTCATTCACATTTTATTGCCAAATATATTATACTTCTATAAGTTACAGGTACAACAATACAATTTTATAGATACTGTTTTGAGTAATTGCTTTTCAAACTTAGTTAAAAAAAAGAAATGTGTAATTATACTGTATTTTATTGTTTATTTTATTATTACTTGTATAATTACCTTTACTAAAGCTCCTTTTTATGTACATTTAAATTATGATTTGCTGCCAAATCCTTTCAGGCTAAAGTTGTTCTCTTAGTGGTTCTTGTAGGTATGCTAATAACAAATGCTGGTTTGGTTAATCTGCAAATGTCTTAATTTAATCTTTATTTTTCAAAGTTTGCTTAGGTGGGTGAATGACTGACTCCTGGTGGCAGTTATTTTTCTTTAAGCTCTTCAGATATCATCCCACTGCCTTTGGCCTCCACTGTTTCTAAAAGAATGTCAGCTGTTAATCTTATTGTGATGCCCTTACACGTAATGAGTCATTTTTCCTGTTGTTGTTATATATATAACATATATATGTTATACACATATTTGTGTGTGTGTTTATTAATATTTCTATATATTAAATCATTGTTATCTCACATATTTTTACTGCCTTAAAGATAGTTTCTCTTAGTTCTTTGAACATAATAGGTACTTCTCAATCTTTGCCTGTTAAATGCAACATATATCGCTTGTCAAATGCAGTTTCTATTGCCTGTGTTTATCTGTATGTATGAGTTATGCTTTCCTATTTCTTCACATAGCTCATAATTTTGTTGAAAACTGAACATGTCAGGTAATATAGAAAATGTGGATACTGACTCCACCACCACCAAGCTTATTGTTTGTTTGTGTTCATATGTGTGTTTATTTAGTGTCTCTTTAGAAAAAGAATTATTTAGTTTTACTTATTATTATTTTTTAGATTTTCTATAGGGCACATGCACTCATGGGAGAAAGAGAGATAGAGAAAAGTGAGAAAGCAATCCATCATGTCTGGGACTCAAACTGCAATTGATCATGTGGGAGTTCAGCACCCTAACTACCACCCAACCTTCTGGTCCCTTATTTAGTGTCTTGATTGAATTAATTATTTGATGTTCATATTCCCAGCAGTGCGGAGGCATTGATATCTCTGGCAGATATTGACTTCTGTTTTTGTCTCTTAGTCTGCCTTCCTGTATCATCCCTGGGTCAGTATAAGCCACTTAGTGGTCTAACATATAAACCCTCTTAGTCAGATTTTTAACCTTTATTTCTTGGATATATGTGACTTGGAGATTTCTTTCAGAGAGTTTACAATTTTCCTCATGTTCAGCTAGAACTAATCGCTTAGAAAAAAGTTCCACCAACACTCCTGAGCAGGTGCAGCCATGAGAACAAGCACAATTTTCCTGACCATCAAGGATCAGTGTGGTCTTACTTTAATTCATAAATAAATTTGCTCATTTGTTTTTCTTCCTTCTACACCAGGGAGCATAGTGCACACATGAGAAAAAGAAAGAAAGATACACATAGAGAGAAAAAGCAGCATTTAAGGGGCCTAGTCATACAACCATCCCTTTTTTCTCCATTTTTCCATGTCATCAGGATCCTGGGTGTGCAC